CTGATAATATGTCCAAAGTAGGAGAAAAGGTCTGGCCATTCTAGGTTTTAAGCATTCTGGCTGTACTTCTTCCAACACAGTTTTGTTTATTCTTCTGGCAGTCCATGGTACTTTCAATATTCTCCTCTAGCACCATAACTCAAATGCATCAATTCTTCTAAAGTATCCCTTATTCACTGTTCAATGTTCACATGCACATGAGGTTATTGAAAATACCATGGCTTGGGTCAGACACACCTTAGTCCTCAAACTGACATCTTTGCTCTTGAACCCTTTAAAGAGGTCTTGTGAAGCCGATTTATCTAATACATTGATTTCTCGACTAGACAAGAGTATAACACCTGGCAGGAATCGCTGTCAGCCAACTGGGAAACTGACCACAGGCAGTGCAGTCAGTAGGAGAGGCTCATCTGGAGGATGTCATCTTCTTTACCCCTTCTGGCACAGTTCATCTTCCCTCTTTGCTCTAGCTGAGGGAAAACTGAGGCAAAGTCCACAATCACCCTGGGAGGAAAGTAGACATTTTGCAGAGGAGGAAACCTAAGGTTAAAAGACATTCTGTGAGCTGCCTGACTCCCATGAACTTTTTTTGAGACAGGAAGTGCAATTTATTGATGGGCAAAGGAGCTCTGGTAGCGTAGTGGTTACGAATCAGACTGCTAACCTCAAGGCTGGCAGTTCAAAACTACCAGCTGTTCCGCAGTTGAAAGATGAGACTTTCTGCTCCCGTAAAGATTTACAGGCTCGAAAACCCAGTATAGGGTCACTATGAGTTGGAACTGACTCTACGGTACTAACAACAGGTCAGGCAGGGCAGTGGTACCTAGGCCTTCATGAATGGCGGGCCTGCCTCTTGTCCGAGGGGCCACAACTGGAGATGTATTTGACTCCACAGCTATCTAGGATGAGGAGCTTCTCAGCCACCGTGTGTTTAAATGCATTAACACTGAACTTGAAGCCCCATTTCTTGAAGATGTGCCTCTTCTGGCACCCAGGGAACTTGAACTTGGCCCTGAGTAGGCCTCCATCATATGCTGCTTGTTGTGAACTTTAGACATGATGGGCATGGTGACTTGGCCAATGTGGACCCTAGCCACAGTACCCTGGGATCTTCCAAAGGTCCCTCACATACCTGTCTGGAGCCTGGACTAGGGACAGCAGACTAATTAGAGTGAGGTCAGCGACATTAAAGGATAGGAAAGGGCTATCTCCAGGGTCTCTTGCTGTTAAATACTGCTGAGTTGCTTCCAACTCATAGGCTTTCTGAGGAGCAGCTGGGACGTTTGAACTGCTGACCTTGAGGTTTAAACCAATCTTGCGGTCGAGTGCGTTACCCTGCAGTTGTTGTTGTCAAGTGCCGTCGAGTCGATTCCGACCCATAGCATATAGGTATATAGCCTGTATAGGGCTTCCAAGGAGCAGCTGGTGAGCTTGAACCACCGACCTTGCAGTGTACCATAACTTATATGTACCAACAGGCTGTGTACAGTACCGAGGAGGCTGCTGTTTGCAGTCATTGCATGCCAGCCCACACAGTGAAGGAAGATGATCAGCTTTAATGGCTGCAGATCCCTGCATGTACTTTTGCAGTTGCCTGCATATGCAGCAATACAGCAAGCACCAGACAATACTGACTGTAGGCATTTGCAGGTCTGTCTTTGCTTTCATATGTGGGTGCCTCACTCCATGAGCTTGGCACAGAGGAGTGGCCAAACCATCTTTATAGTGAGCCAAGTCTGGCATGCCTCCCTCACGGTAGCTGCCTTTGCCCCATGGCACTGCTTTGCAGGAGTGCTAAGAGACAGCAGTAAGAGAAGCCCACCCTACAGTAGGGCACCAGGTAGGTGTGTAGGGCCTTTTAGGATATGAGGAGGGCAGGGAGGTTCCTTAGCACTGTTATAGCACCTCAAAAAGAAGAGGAAGGACCATGAAGGTGTGGAATCTATCTGTGCTTAGCATGATGCTGACAAGGTTCCTCTGCTGGATAAAGGTTTTCAGCAGTTGAAGATCCTCTACCATGCTACACCTCCACACCAAATCACATCCTGTGTCTGACCTTATCTTGTATGGGATTCCTGCTATTCATGTGTACTAGGATCCCTTTCGCAGCTTCTTGGTCCCTAATCGGTCCCTAGGCTACCACTACTTCCCACAGAAGGACCCTGGAGAAGTGAGCTGAGAACCCCACCTAAGACCACCTCCAAGGGCCCTTTGTGGCAGGGCAGGCTATCCACCACTGTTTCTGCTGGGGTGGCGCTCTGACCCTAGCAGAGCCACATAAGCCCTTCCTTCCCCCACTCAGTCGAACGCACCAAAGAAACCGGAGCCCACGCTGAAGTATCAGAAACGTGTATTCTTTTTCTTTTAATAGTAAACCTCTTTACAACAAATATAGTGAAAGAGTTTTCAAACAAAACTCATAAGAATCTCGAGGACTTTGTCTTTTCTTATTGTGTAGAATACTAAGAAAGCATCACCATACAGCACGAAAAGAAATATTGAAAACAAATCAACAGCCACACACTTGGACTCGCCCTGCCCCAGGACCCAGGAGGAGCCCCAGGAGTGTGGGTGATTGTCGGATTTGGGGGTGGGCACCTCCATGGCCTGTCCCTGCCCCTCCCTCCCTCCTTACCATCCCTCCCTCCCTCCCCCCTCCCTTTGGGACTTGAATGGGGAAGACTGAGAGAATCCAGATTCTCCATATAACATTCCAGCCCCCCCAAACCCCATACAAATCCCACCCTTCTACCAACTGTTTGGGGGATGGGAAGAGGCGGCAAAGGGGAGAATGAGGAGTTCCCAGGCTCCATGATTCCTCCTTTCCATGAAAGCCCAAACACACTTCTTATCCCACCCCAGGGGATTCCAAAGAGTCAGTTAAAAATATATAGAGATATAGATATTTCTAGATACACTTTTACATCATTTCTGTCTTTCCAAACAAATAAATAATCAGCAAGAGAAGGTGCATTACTTCCTTCCTGTCCAAGGTGGGGAGGGCTGGGATGGGGGCCAGGGGTCAGTCTCGCTGCATTGAGTGCACTGTTGGGGTGATAGGCAATGGTGTGTTCCATTGGGGGAGGGGTTCCTCTTGCCCACTGTCCCTGAATGCTGTGGGAAACCTGGGGTGGGGAGGGGCATTGGATGACTCCAGTGGTTACTTTGGCAAATGCCCAGTTCTTCAGAGGAGAGAGTGGGTGGAGGCAAATTTGGCTTGTGAGAGGAAGAAGAAATTAAGTCCCCACTTGAGGTCTGGGTTCCCAAGGACTCATTTATCTGGCTGGGAGCCCCTACTCCCAAGGGAAACCTTGGGATACTGAACTGCAGAATTGTCACACATTCATTCACAGACCAGTCCCTACCACCCCCAGGGACAGAGAAGGACACACATGCATCCATACATCCACATTGGGTAATCGAAAGCCAGGTTTGCCATTACAAGGCAGAGGGCAAAACTGGTGAATATTGCACCATGAGCTGCAAGGGCCCTCACCCCACCCCGTGTTTAATGGTGGTCAAGCCCAGCCTGGAAAGCTGGGCAGACTAATGGTGGGGATAGCCTGAGAAGGAAGGCCAGTCATTCAATGTTTGCTGAGCACCTATCATTCATTCACCTAGTCAGCATTTATCAAGTGCCTAGTATGTGCTGGTGTGATGCTATAGGATAAGCACTGGACTGCTAACCGTTAGGTTGGCGGTTCAAACCCACCAGCTGCTCCTCAGAAACCCTATATAAGTAGCTATGAGTCAGAACCAACTCAATGGCACTTTAACAACAACAACAAAGTGTGCCAGGCACTGGGCAAGGCTCTGGGGATGCACGCATGCACAGGACCATAACCTGGCTTCTTTCAAAGCCCTGACCAAATCTCACTGATTCTTGAAGCTCCTCCAGAAACCTGCAGGGCAGATGGGAAGACCAGACATGCTAGGTGCCTTATCAGCATGGTAGCTAAGCTGCAAGTTAAGGAAATATCATGCCCAGTAAAACACAATGCTTCAGGGAGGAAAAGAGAGTTCTGCGTCAAGTGTTAGAATACTGGGTACAGAGGTGGGCAAACAGTTTTTACCACACACACACACACAATAGTGGAGAAGGGCACTTCAGGAAAGGGGACTATGTAGAATGAAGTGGGGTTAGTTGGGCAATAGTGGGTAGAGGCAAAGGTTTCCAAGGGAAACCCTGAGGGAGGTAGGGTGGTAGGGAGAAGCAGAGAGAGCTAACTCCCAGATCCTCCCAACTGTAGTATTAACACATTGGAGTTGAGGATGAGAGCAAGTAAAGGAGCAGGGGGGAATAGAGTAGGGCTCAGGAAGGAGGATCTTAGAGATGGAAGCCAGGGCGGTGTGGCTGCGAACAGCCATCTGTCCTGTAAACACACAGCCAGGCACACATAGTCACAGAGATGCCCTCAGAGCTTCCATCACACAGAGCTCCATAGATACCCAGATAGGTGCTCATACACACATACACACACACGCACACATAAATACAAAGGTCCACTCAGACACATAAATACAAGATGCCTTCATGAACACATTCAGGTACTTGTGTGGTCACACACACCCCTCTGCTTCTGGGTCCTTTCTGCGTCAAGTGTCAAATACTGCAAGGTCATAGAGACGGGCAAAGACAGTCAGTCACTACTAAACCGGGCCTTGTCTAACTCTACTCTCCAATCAGAATGAAACTCCAGAGGCGTGCTACACCCCTGGGACAGAGGAGTGGACTTGCGCAAAGGACTGGAGCAGACCCTGCCTGCCTGCCCATGTCACCCCAGCCCAGGCCCTGTAGGGCAGGGGGTAGTGGTGGAGAAGGGGCTAGGGACTGCCTCCTCCAGTTTGATTTGATCTTTGATGCAGCCCGAGGTCTCAGGACCCTATGTATGCTTCGGCTGTCCCTGGGGCCCTTCACCACTGCCCCCACTGAGGGGGCAGAAGTGAGGGGCAGACTCAGGGTAGGGGGTGGAGAGCAAGAATAACAGCAGAAGAATCTTGTCTGTACAGTACGGGCCGTTTGAGTCATTATTATTACAATATACTTTGACAAAAATAGAATCTCATTTCATATCAATACAACAACAACAACAAAAAAAAAAACCAACAGTTTCCTAGACTGTTACACCGCTAATGTTTTTCCAAAGGTTGCTATTTACAATTACAGTAGCCAAGAGGGAAGGTGGGGTGCGGCCTGGGTTGGTGGTACAGGAGGTAGCGAGACAATGAGGGTGCCAAGAGCAGGGAGGTGGGGTCAGGAGCAGAGGAGCTGGGAGGAGGGGCTGGGGAGAGGAAGCAAGGAAGCATCAGGGAGGCAGACCTCCTCTGCCCCTCCCTCCATCCCCACAGACCATCCCAGTGTCTACTCCTCTGGGTTTGTGTGCGTGCAAGGAGTCCCCTCACTGACACTTGCCCCTGAATGAAAGGATCCTTGGGGTGCACCTGCCTCCCTTCTGGTCCTCAGGCCCCCAGGGAAGCCCAAGACTGACTCTGACTGAGACACTTCATGTGAGTTCTTCTCCCTACTTGTCCCTGCACATTGTGGCCAGCTTACAGGGCTGGGATCAACTGAGGGATGGGAAGCTATTGCACTGTGTATTTTAGAGAAAAGGCCGGGGAAGGGATGGGATCCAGTTCACCCCTGGCCCCAACTCTTCTGCCCCTCCTCAGCCCGCTCCTCATGGCTCTCTTTGTCTTTCTCTCCAAATGTGCTTCGAGAGGTGACCCACCCCAGGTCCTTTCCCCTAGCCTCTGATTTCCCGGCAGTCCTCTCAGTCAGCACCCACACACCTACAGGGTACAGCTGAAAGGAGAATCAGTGGGCATCCTGTGTGGGTGCAGGGGCAATTGGGGTATTCTGCCCCATGTGCCTGTGGCCACATGAACAGCCCAGAAGCAGAGCCTCTGAGTTCAGAACCTCTGCCTCCCTTTCCCCCTGAAACACAAACCCACCCATCAAGTCAACTTTGGGGTTTCCATCTACTGTATGGGTTTTTGTTGTTTGGTAGTTTTTTGGTTATTCCCCTCTATCTGGGAGATGGGGTGAGAGGGCTCCGCGGGCAGGGCTTCAGCACCTGTCCTTTCCCAAGGCTTGCTGGGCTCCCCACCCCATCCTGCAGCATATGTGTACAACGTGCAAAGTGTCCCCCCCTTCCCGCAAAAAAAAGAGACCCCCCCCCAGCCAGTGAAAATGGTGGGGGTATAGAGAGAGGGGATGGAAGCATCCCCTCTCCAAAGCGAGAGTCCAAATTGAAAAAAAAATATAATAATAATAATAATAATAATAATATAATAATTATACACAAATGTAACCGTCAACAGGACACGGAGCACAAGAAAGGATGTGGGGTCGAGCGGGAGGAGCCCAGGACAGGGAGGGGTGGGCGGTGAGATTGTCAACTCTTCATCAGGAAGGCTGAGAGGAGGGGAGTGGGAATCGTCACTTTAATGTCTGTGAAGAGAGGAGATGGAGAAGGGGGTGAGAGGGGGTGGCCCAGATTACAGGGCGTGCACCCCCCACTCCCTTCTCTACAATAGGACCAGGACTCAGTTGGCGGGGGCCAGCTCTGAGAGGGAAGAAGTCATTGAGCAGGGGACTGATGCTGAGCAGGTAGGAGATTGGCTTTTGTAGAGGGAAAGGGCTGGTAGAAAGGCTAGCTGGGCACAAGGCCTCTCAGGTGGGAGATAAGATAGGTTGGGGGCACGTGGGACAGTCCCTGGGTGTAGCAGACACTGCAGACTGAAGGGGTAAAGCTACAGTACCCAGGTATCGAGCCGCATCCTCTTCAAAGCGGAGCCCTCAGCCTCAGGCTCTGGGGCTGGACGCAGTAGGCCCAGTGTGGACCCGAAGTCTCCCCGTCCGTCATCCCGGTCCCCTGTCTCATAGGAGCTCCCGGCTGGACTGCTGAGACCATCACCAGGCTCTGGGCGGGCAGCCGGAAACACAGCAGGAGGCGGTGGCGCAGGGCTGCGCTCACGGCTTGGGGACACAGGTTCTGACTTGATGCTAATATGGGGGTGGGTGGTGACTGTAAGGGCAGCACCCACATGGGGCAGTGGGCTGCCCGGGCTAGAGGCAGGCAGTTGGGTGGGGATAGAAGGGTTAGAAACAGAATGGATGAGGGACATAAGAGGTGATGTGATCACAGGACAAAGTGAAAGACAGAGACGACAATGGGGGAGGGGGAGCAGGGTATGGGCGGGAAGGGGAGAGACAATGGATGGAGACCAGAAGAAAGAGGTCAGTGAAGAGAAGAGAAGATATAATATTAGTTTTCTCTCGGTCCTATCTCTGTCATCTTCTGCAGCCCAAGGTCACCCCCACCCTCACGCTGGGAATGGCTGGGGAAAAAGGCTCAGGATGGGTCTCCTAGGTCTATACAGGTGACCCTGTGCTGCACGGTGCAATTTGCACAGCCTCACAGGATGGCCACTGATAACAGATGTCCTTGTGGGGAACCCAGTTCTCAGGAGGACCCTCCTCTCTCTGCTCAACTTGCCCTCCCCACATATTCATCAGGAACATCCCCACAAAGACTCACATTAGGTTGCTGAGAGACACAGGGACCAGGTGGGATTGTTGCTGAGGTGGCTGCTGCGGCTGCTGAGACTGCTGGGGCTGGGGCTGGGGCTGCGGCTGGGGCTGTGGAGGCTGCTGGGGCTGTTGTGGCTGCTGGGGCTGTTGTGGCTGTTGCCAGGCGGTGACGTTGCCTAGAGACAGCCCCCCAGGCGAACTGAAGGCTGGTAAGGAGGAGAGGTCTGCACTGGTCAACTGGTAATCTGCAGAGGAAACAAGAGGGTGAGCCCTGAAGCTCTCATGGGGTAGCCACCTCCAGGAGGGCCATACCCATGAGAGGAGAGAGGATTTAATAACAATGTGAATAATTAAACCCATCAAAAGTCAGTGAAGGTACCATTCAGAGTTCAAGAAATGCAAATCATCATAACCTCGAGGTACTATTTTTTAACCATCAGACTGGCAAAAAAAGTAGAAGGTGTGATCAAACTTAGTGTGGGTGAGGGTGTAGAAAAGCAAGCACTCTCATCCCTGTAGGTGGGAGTTTACATTTTTTAAAAGCAATTTTGCAATATCTATCAAAATATAACATGCATATATCCTCTGACCTAGCAGTTCTAGCAAGGAGAATTTATGTTACAAAAGAGCCCTCAAAACATCAGAAAAAGAGACACACACACACACACACACACACACAAAGATACTGTTTAACATTTATTTGCAAAACCAAACCAAAGAAATACTCCCATGTTCTTATTAGTGGAATCTGATTAACTATATTATAGTCCATCTATATAGTTGCTGATGTCAGATGGATCTTGACTAAAAACATACGATACCAGAAAGATGCTTGTATTTTATTGATTATGCAAAGGTATTTAACTGTGTGGATAAGAAATTATGGATAACATTGCAAAAATGGGAATTTCAGAACAGTTAATTCTTCTCATACGGAACCTGTACCTAAATCAAGAGGCAATTGTCCAAAGAAAAGAAAAGGAAACTGAATGATTTAAAATCAGGAAAGGTACATCTTTAAAATCAGGGTTGTATCCTTTGACCATTCTGATTCAGTCTCTATGCTGAGCAGATAATGAGAGTAGGCAGACTATATGAAGAAGAATGCAACATCAGGATTGGAGAAAGGCTCATTAACAACCTGGATATACAGATGACACAACCTTGCTTGCTGAAAGTGAAGAGGACTCAAAGATTACAGCCTTGAGAGTGACTTACATCTCAACATAAAGAAAACAAAAATCCTCACAAGTGGACCAGTAAGTAACATCATGATCAACAAAGACTGAAATTGCCAAGGATTTAATTTTACTTTGATCTACTATCAATGCCCACAGAAGCAGTAGCCAACATATCAAATAACATATTGTATTGGGCAAATCTGCTGCAAAAAAACCTCTTAAATGTGTTAAAAAGATGTCACTTTAAGACTAAGGTGTGCTTGACCAAGTCATGGTATTTTTAACTGCCTCATATGCCTGTAAAAGCTGAACAATAACAGGAAGACCTAAGAAAAATTTAGGAGTCCTGGTGTGGCACTGTGAGATAAAGACTGGACCTCAAGGTCAGTTTGAACCACAAGGTTGGTGGGTTCATTCCTCGGAAACCCTGTATAGGGTCGCTATGAATCAGAACTGATTCAGTGGCACTCAACAACAACAACAACGAAGAACTGATGCATCTGAATTATGGAGTTGGCGAAGAATACTGATTATACTATGTCAGAAGAACAAACCAATCTGTCTTGGAAGAAGTACAGTCAGAATGTTCTTTAGAAGTGAGGATGGTAAAACTTCATCTCACCTATTTTGGACATGTTATTAGAAGACCAGTCCCTGGAGAAGAGCATCATGTTTGGTAAAGTTAGCGAAAAAGATGATACTTAATGAGACTGACACAGTGGCTGCAACAATGGTCTTAAACATAGCAATGATTGTGATGATGGCACTGGGCCAGGCCATGTTTCATTCTGTTGTACATAGAGTCATTATGATTTGGAACCAACTCAATGGCACCTAACAGCAACAACAAATATGAAGAAATCTCTCCAGGAGAATTGCCAAAAGAAAAAAACAAGATGAGAAGCAGTCCATTTATATGGGAAGAAAAATCAAGACAGACGTAAGAATGTTTGTGTAAGCAGAGAAAATATTGATGGAAGATCACACAAGCTGCTGGTTTTTATATAGGAATACAGAACGGGGGTCAGTGGTAGAGGAACAAAAGAGGTGTTTTTTGCCACCATGTTTAATTTTTTTAAGAACCATATGTAGTTACCACTTTGATAATGATATTTAAAAACAAATAGAAAGAAGACAAAAGGTTTATTTAAAAAACCCTACGACTCAAAGCTCCCTTATAGGACAGAGCAGAATTGCTCCTTAGCATTTGAGACTGTCGATACTTACAGGAGAAGCCAGCCTCATCATTGTCCCACAAAGTTGATGGTGGCTTTGAATCACTGACTTGTGGTTAGCAACCCACTACTTATCCCATAGTACTATCACAACTCCTTCAAGATTAATTAATACAAAAAAACAAAAAACAAACCTATTGCCATAGAGTCAATTTCAACCGTAGATAGGGTTTCTGAGGCTGTAAATCTTTATGGGAATAGAAAGCGTCATCTTTCTCCTGTGAAGCAGCTGGTGGGTATGAACTGCTAATGTGGCAGTTAGTAGTCCAGTGCTTATCCTACAGCACCAGTAGTGCTCCTAAAGGTTAATTGGGAAGGGTCAATATATATGTAAGGAGCCCTGGTGGCTCTATGAGTTACAGGTTAGATGCTAACCAAAAGTTTAGGGGCTGGAATCCACCAGTGCTCCAACAATTGCCTGGCCATCTGTGCCTGTAGCGATTACAGCCTAGAAAACCCTATGAGGTAATTCTACTCTGTCAGATTGGGTTACAATGAATCAAAATTGACTCGAAAACACTATAACAACAATATGTATCTGTTATCCCTTTAGCCAACTCATCAAGTGTCTTCTGCAGGAAAGAAATCACAGTAAATGCTAGGGGAATTGGGGCATCCAAAGCAAATGATTTTATCTACCATCCTATGTTCTGCGAAATCCCCAAGTCTTTGAAGACTGTCAACACATAAGTAGCAACAAGGGTTAGAGCAGCTGTGCCCACACACATAAACACAAAGAAGATGAATGAATGTCTGCTACCAGTTCTTTTTGCTCCTTGAACAGAAGGGCCTACAAGAGCAAAAGGACTAAGACATTGTTCTACACCCACCCTATTGTGGAAAGTAATGACTGGGGTCTCTAAGCTTGCAAGTGGCCATCTAAGATACAACTAGTGGTCTTCCTTCCCCTCATCTGGAGCAAAGAAGAATAAAAAAGATCAAAGACTCAAGGAAACAATTAGTTCAAAGAACTAATGGACCTGGGGAACCTCAACCTCTAGGATCCTGAGACCAGAAGAACAGGAGGGTATCCTGCTGCTCTGACTGCTCTGATCAGGATCACAAACAAAGGTCCTGGGCAGAAAGGGTAAAAACATGTAGAGAACAAAATTCAAAATCATAAAAAGATCAGACTTAGTGGCCTGGTAGAAATTGGTAGAACCCTTAAGACTGTGACCCTTAGACACCCTTCAAGCCTGGAACTCAATTCACCTGTGGGTTATAAAGACAGGCCTATAAAGTGAATACCAGCAAGGAACGTACTTCTCAGTACAATCAGCCATATGAGATGAAAAGGGCAGCATTTTCCCAAAATTAAAGTTCAGATAGCAGGAAGGGGCAGGAAAGCTGGACAACTGGAATTGGAGAATCCAGGGAGGAAGTGAGAAAAGTGCTATTACATTTAAGGGACGGCAACTAATGTCCAGAAACAAAATGTATATAAATTGTTGAGTGGAAAAACTACCTTGCTATATAAACTTTCATTAAAACTACAATTAAAAAATAAAAAGAAGAGGAACAGACAAGATGACGGATCGGGTAGAAGTGCAGTGAGGAGCTCTGTCAGCAACAACACAGAATACCAGACCAAGCAGCCTCAGGGGATGGTGCCAGAACTCTGAACCACATATAAAGGAATATTTAGAAGGTTGGAAGGCTTACAGCTAGGGGAATTTGTAGCAGAAGCAAGAAATCCAGTGCTTTCTAATTCAAGGCGCTCAGCTGATCCTGGAGCCTCCATCTTGGAAGAGACCAAGTGGGGGAAGGATCAGAGCAGCCACTGACACCTGACAGAACTGCAGAGATAAAGGAAGAAGAGTGAAAAGGGAAGCCCATCTCCTGATCACATCTACCTGGAGGCAATCAGAAAGCATAAAAAATACCAAAATACACACCCATCTAAGTATTAAGGCGATAGAGAACTCCTGAATATGCCCAAAAAACAGAAACAGATGACCATATCAGCACATGTCCAGAAATGAGATAAAGTGACTGAGGCAAATGAGCTGGAAGTAGACCTATAATCCATACTAGAAGATGGGCAGGCTTTGGAAATGCCGGAGAAGGAATTCAGAAAAAATGATTATAAAATGTATCAAATTACTCTACAATGGAGTTGAGAAAAATAAGGAAGAAGTTAGGAAAGTGTTATAGGAACAATCAACTAAGATATATACAGTACTGGAAACAATTCAAAACCTATAAAAAGAGATCCAAACGATTGATAACAGAATATCAAAAATGGACAATACACTGAAAGGGCAAAGGAGTAAACTGAAGAGATAGAAGCCAGAACTAGTGAGCTAGAAGATAAATCTCTCAACACTACTAAGATAGAAGAGCAAGCACAAAAAAGGATTTAAAAAAAAACCTGAAGAAGGACTAAGATTCATGTTGGACAACATGAAGAGGAATAATTTAAGAATTATTGGCATTCCAGAACAGGAAGAACCACACAAGTCCACAGAGGAGATAGTTGAAGAGCTTCTGGAAGAAAATTTCCCTAACATCCTGAAAAGTGAAATGATAAGCATTCAAGAAGCTCAACGAACTCCAGGAAGGATAGACCCTAAAAGACAATCACCAAGATATATAATAATCAAGCTCTCCAAGATCAAAGATAAGGACAGAATCCTGAAAGCAGCTAGGGAAAAGAGAAGTGCAACATACAAAGGCAAGCAAATCAGATTAAGCTCAGATTTCTCAACAGAAACCATGCAGTCAAGAAGGCAATGGGGAGCCATATGTAAAACCCTGAAAGAAAAAACTGCCACCCAAGAATCCTCTACCCAGCAAAGCTGTCAATCAAATACGATGGTGTAATCAAAA